ATATATATATACTTTTCACTATGTTGAGGAAATTCCCTTCTATTTTAATTTTGCTGAGTGTCTTTATCAGGAAGGGGTGTTCCTAGAAAATGGAATCTAAAAACACATAAAAAATAATTCACCACAACCAAGTGAGATTTGTAACAGATATGCAAGGATGGTCCAACATAAGAAAAACAATCAATGTAATTCATTGTATTAACAATGTATAGAACAAGAACCATATGATTGTAGCAATTGATGCAGAAAAGGCATTTGACAAAATCCAGCACCCCTGAGCTAGGCTTATAATTAGCAAGTGGCAAAGGCAGATTTGGCCCCAAGTTTGACTACAAATTCCATGTTTTCTCTATATTTCTGCTACTTAGGGCTCAGCCTTTAGAAAGTCTGTTTCCTGACCTCCAGAATGAATATTTCTCTCCTACCTAATTATGAAAGATACTTTTTTCTGAGATCAACTAAGTGCGTTCTGCTTGCACTGAGAATAGATAAGTCAGCAGAGGGAAAAGGTGGCAGAGGGAGAGGAGTCCTGGGAGCAGTGAACAGGAGGAAAGAGCATCTAACATTGCAGGAAATTGCATGGTCTGCTGCATAAGAATAAGATCCTCTGCTTGCTTTCCTCCCTCTCAGAGGCCATGGGTCATCTGATGCACTTACCTCAGGTAGCCAAGAGGCCCCAGCCAAGCCAACTGGCTTGTTGACAGTGCCTGTGACTTCTCTGCCTCCCTCCTTTATCCTCTCCATGCCCAAAGAGTCACCCACTGACTCAATGCCAACACATATGTACAAACAGTAAATAATTTGGGCTTTGTAGGTTTTACAGTCTCTGTCACCACTACTTATAACTACTCTTCTAGCTTGAAGGGAGCCAGAGATAATCTAGACAAATAGGCATGTGTTCCAATAAAACTAAAACTTTATTTACAAAAGCAGGCCAGATTTGGCCTAAGTTCATAGTTTGCTCTCTCCTGGTGTAAAGCTTTTAAAATGGGATCTGATCTACTGTGCTAGCCCTGGTCTCATAAAAGTCGTATTTCTTCAGGGATGAGTGGTTACAGCCTCACAATGCAGTCCAACTCAGCTTGGGCTGTGCACATTCTTCTGCAAAAGAGGTAGCGTGTGATGTTGGCTACCTGCTCTGCATGCACTGCTGCAGCTTTTTTAGATTTGCATGGCAAAGGTGGCAGTTTATCCAGACTGGCCTAAGCCAGTTATGGCAATCTGATTCCCTTTTGCCAGTGGTTGGGTTAGGGGTAGTTCTGGGGCTTCTGGGAGAGATTTTTTACCTCTTTGATAAAATGTGAGGAGCCCAAGAAATGGTTGTTAGGTCCTTCCCTTGCCATGTCTAAACCAGGAAGCCTTTGTTTACAACTGGAGAGGACACCCTTGCGTTGCTGTAGCCTCCTTGTGAGCATGTGGGAAGCTGAGAAATGGAAGTGATGGAGCCACAGAGCCAGCCCTGGAAACATGACTTCTGAATTTCCTGTTAAATCAAATAATAAACTAATAAGAAAACTCATCTGGTTTAAATACAAGAAAGGGAATGGCTCATAGAAAGTGTAACTTCTGACATCATAATGATATTAATACTTCCCTCTAATCATTTTTCTAAGGGTCTTCTGGAAATCTTGATGTTCTGTCCTTCCGAACTTTGTCCTTTTGCTCCTAAAACTCCAGTGTTCATGCCAAATCCCAGTTACTACACTACTCCAGCCATCCTCCAGTGTCTTGATCACTTCTGTTGGAAGCTGTTGTTCACAGAGAAGCCTCATATTTGAGGAGTGCCACTTCTCCTATCTCTTCCTCTCCTGCCTTGTCATTTTCATATCTCTGTCTGGCTGTGTCGATGAGGTCCTCTGGGACAGTAGCAGCTTATTTCCTCTGCATGCTGAGTGTATCTTGGAGACTTATATGTTGTTCATTTGCCACAGGGAAAGCATTCAGTTGGCAGTAGGCCCTTTCCTCCACATCCTGGAGAACAACCTGTTGAAAGCCATTGACCCTTCCACACCACCCAGCAATATCAGGTACTTAACACTGCTCTCCTTCGCGCTGCTGAGGGCAGGGGTGGTCTTTAGAGGGAACCCAATTCTTAGAGGACTAAAGTCAAACTGTCAGGATTGAGGGTACACGGTTAAGAAGTCCTACTAGCTCCCTCATAGGCTCATCGACATTTCACTTTCTTCCTGCCATACTTCTCCTGTTATATTTTGAGATTTTTCTTTTGCAAAAATAAAATTCCCTGGATTTTTTGTTAAATGTATTCTTTCACTTTTAAACAAACTGAACACATGTCAGACAAAGTAGCTAATTTTCATGCCACACTGATTTTATGTCATAACAACCTAAAACAGAAAAATAATTACTTAGTAGGTTGTTTAGTTTGAACACTGTCATTGAGTGTGTAGAAAGATAGGCCACCTACAAGGCAGTGACGGTGAGGACGGTGCGGGTGGTACAGAGTATTGTTCGTAGGGTCACTGTGAGTCATGGTCTATTTGACAACACCACACAACAACAACAGGCACTGAAAAATGCTGAAGTGGTTCCTGAGCCTCAGCGGCCTAGAACCCAATGTCCAAGACCACTTGTCACTCAAAGCATGGTCCGCACATGCCCTCAGCCTCAGCTGGGAGCTTGTTAGAGTCTCAGGCTGAAGATCCCAGGTAATTTGTATGCATCTTAGCGTAAAGGAAGCACTGTTCTAGGCTGCCTCTTTGAGTGAGAGAAGTGTTAGACACAGAGATTCCTGATGAATAATGAGTTATACAAGATTTTGGGCCAGGATTTGTAACAGAAAGTCATGTGAGTGCCCCTTACAGTATCTGCAGTCACAGTCCATTTCTTTCTGGCTTTTGCCACTATTGGGCTGGTGTCTGGGAGAACTACAAAGTCTAACACTGGCTTCTAGGGTTGAGTGTCAGTAATCTTCCCAAGATAGATGCAGGAGTCAGATGTATATAAGATAGAATGACACCTTTATTACCGATTCAAGCCTTTTGGAGAATGTGATTAGTGTTAAGTGAGTTTATAAATACTCCTTTAGCATGAACTTGGTTCCCCCAGACTGTAAGCCCTCCCAACAAGGGGTAGAGCTCGCCCTACTTAACAGTGCCTGATATGACTGAGAGTAGAACATTACCCTCAAGCAGACAGGTCCCAGAGAGAGGAGAGGTGGGCTTGAACTGCACATGTCCCGTTCCTTCTTCTAAACTCATCAGAGGGGAAGTGAGGGAGGGAGCCGAGTAAGTTACTGTTGGGGCAGAAGGGAGGCTCCACAGGAGGCATGGGGGAGTAGTCGGAGTCTTCCGCACCTTCTCTTAAAAGGAGTTTTAAGACCAGCTCACTGATTTCTAGATGTTTCTGAGACAATGTTAAGCCTCAGTCAAAGGAGGCAGGCAGTGTTCTGGTTTGCAGGGTTCTGAGGCAAAGAAAGATTGAAAACTGCTTTTCTGTTTTGTTTTGTTTCCCTAGAAAGCTGTACCTCTATGCAGCTCATGATGTGACCCTCATTCCTCTCTTAATGGCTCTGGGGATCTTTGACCACAAATGGCCCCCTTTTGCTGCTGATCTTACCATGGAACTCTACCAGCACCAGGAATCTAAGGACTGGTTTGTGCAGCTCTATTACCATGGGGAGGTAAGACCCCTGAGGTGGGGTTGGGGTTGGGTGGAGGTCCACACCCTCTCCTCAGTTTTAACTTCCCTTAGTCTGGTACTGGGTCTCCTCCTCAGGCTCAGTGGGGAGTCCCCATTGATGGAATCATCTCTGTATCTCTAACTTCTATTTGGTGACCTAAGGATAGGGCAGGACTTTGGTGCATCTGTTGAGCTGGAGTGTGGGCCTTAGCCCAGTTCTGTTACAGATTCCTGGTTGCAGGGCCAACCTCCTGCTCTTCTCCTGACTGTCTGTACTAGGATGGTGGCATCCTGTGAGGACTGTTTGAGAATGAATGATGGTATCTTTGGGAAGTGGTGTCCCCCTCTTAATATCTTGGTGGCTTCAGTGCATGTGTCCAAGGCAGCAGGGTGAGCCCTTTCCAGGGATCATAAGCCCTTACTCTCCCAGCTCAAGGGTATAATTTGACTCTTCCTTGTCAATTCAACAAACATTTCTTGACTGCCTTTTCCAAGCAGGACTTAGTGCTTTTAACTTGGAAGCTGATTGGGTAGTGGGACCTTCTGTATGTGTGCAGACATATACCTCTTGGGAGAAGTCTCAGACCTCCAGGCTCAGCTGAGAACAGCAGAAGGAGGTTCTCAGAGGACCTGCTGAGTTATGCCTCTTTCACAGGAGCAGGTGCCGAAAGGATGCCCTGAAGGACTCTGCCCGCTGGACAAGTTCCTGAACGCCTTGTCAGCTTACACCTTAAGCCCAGAAAAATACCACAGACTCTGCTCCCAAACACAAGGGATGGAGCTGGGGAGCAGAGGGTGACTGATTTTTAAAAATAGGATTTGTTAATTTTTAAAATAAAATGCCTCTTCACAATGCCTCAGGCTATGAGTGTTTCTTGTGGGAGACAAGGGTTAATGCATAGGCTTTGGGGATTTCTCCCTGTAGGTGTTTCTCCTCAGAGGTCTCTTCCTGAAAGGAGAGGGGGTAGACAGTTGAAACCAAAGGGATATTTCTCTAGTTTGTGGCTTATTTTCACCATCAGAAGCATTGCCTGTGACACAAGGCTGGAGAGACCACTCTGTAGGATTGTGTTGTTTTGGGCTGCAATTCTTCTATCTTCATTTCACAAACATGTATTGAGCACTTACTAAGTACCAGTTCTGGTTGCTGGGGAGTTTTCTAATTCATAACAACCTCATGTCTGTCAGAGGACATCTGTGCTCCATGAGTGAATTTTTAGAAGCCATTCACCAAACCTTTCTTCTAAAGTGCTTCACACCTTCAACCTTGCAGTAGCAGTCAAGTTTGGTAATGGTTTACTCAGACACTCCTGCTTATTAGATAGAGATCTTCAGAGAGGTGAAAAGGCTCTGCCCTCAAGTTCTTTCAGTCCAGTGGTGGAGGCCAAGAAGCAAGTTAGTGATTACATTAGCCATCTGTGGCTATGTGTCATGCTGTGAGCAAGGTATGTAAGGGACTATTTGGAAGTAAAGAAGAAATTCCTAGCACTGAGGTATGTAGGGAACTGGGGGAGCAGTTGAGGAAGACTTCTGAGATCTTGGCCTGAGTCCAGTAGAGAAGTAGAGATTAGCCAGATGAGCAGAAGGAAAAAGTATTGAATGTGGTAAAAGTTAGACTTGAAAGGCAGGGGACATTCCGTGTTGGGTGATGAGTTGAAGCCCTGCTGTGGAAGCACCAGGAAGAGGGATGTGTGTTGGCCTCAGAGTGCTGTGGCTCTGGGACTCTGCCATGATAAGTCGAAACTGTTCTCAACGAAAGAGCTCGACCTTTAACTACAACCTGGTCATCCCATATTTCCTTGCCAACCTTCTCGTTTCCCCCCATAATCTATCCCAAACTCTCCAATTGTAAACCACTGATCTGATCTCTTTATATCTCAGTGAAGAAAGCAATCATGTAAGTAAGCCTCACCATTTTCTGCCACCCATGCTTGCCCCCACCAGAGAAGAGCTGTCCCTCCCGTCTGTGTCTGGATCTAGCTCCTTTGCCTACTGTCCCTTCACTTACCTTTGTCTCCTGTTCCTCTGCTGACTTCCTCCTATCAGCTTTATGCCTATTTAGGATGCTTCTGTCATTTAAAAACATCAAACACACCAAAAACTTTCATTACCATGTTCACTTCCAGCTGCTACCTTCTCCCCTTACTGTCACACTTCTTCAGAGTGGTCTGTATTCCCCTACCACCTACTCCAGCTCCAAATCCTGTCCCACTCATCGTATCCTTACACTGAACCAGCCAAGGTTGCCACTAACCATCTCAGCGCTAAGCCCAGCAGAGACATTTTCATCCTTGGCTCTCTTGACTTTCCTCCACTCAGATATTCTTAACCATTCTCTCTGAGCATGCCCTTCCTTTATCTTCTATAACCCCACAGTCAACTTTCCTCTTACTTCTGACGGCTTACATTTTGTCCTCCTTCCTTTACAGTCCCTCGGCGTGTTTCCCTGGACATCACCCATCAGCTACTGAGGCTTCCGCTACTGTCTTTATATTTACAACTCTAAAACTAGGTTTCCTTTTTGAGCTCTAAGGCCCACTTGGAGGCCCCAAACCCTAACCTGCTCCTCCCCCAGATTTCCTTTTCTGAATGAAAGACACTACTATCTATCCTGTTTGCTAAACCAGAAACCTATTGTTTCCTTTCTCTCACTTACCTAGTCAGTTAGTGTCGCTCCATTATCACCCGTTTATTTCATGAATCTATTCACATCTCTCCATCCCCAAATCTCCAATATGCCCTTCTACTCCCATTCTTTGCTGACTTATCACTGTAGTTCCTATTTTACTAAGAAAGTAAAAGCAGTCTTAATGCCCTACCTACTCTGCTGCTGCTACCACCACTCGGGTAGCCTCGTGGTAAGAAACTGCTGCAATTCCAAAGGTACGTAGTTCAAATCGGCTAGCTGCTGCATGGGAGAAGGTGGACAATTCCCTCCCATGCAGGTTGCTGTCTCTGAAAATCCCCTGGAGGGTCAGCTATGGACCAGTTCTGACTGAACGATACACAACAATTACTTTGATACTCATGTGACTTGCCTCATATCCTATTACTAAGGATAAACCATCCTCACTCCATTCCATGGACTGTCAAAAGAACAAACATCTGTCCTGGACAGGATGAAGCCAAGCTGGTCCTTGGAAGCAAGGGTTCTGAGGCTCCATCTGACATACTTTGGGCATGTTGCCAAGAGGGAGCAGTCTTTGGAGAGGGACATCGTACTTGGAAGCATAGAGGTACAGCACAGGAGAGGATGACCCCTGATGAGGTAGACTGACACAGTAACTAAGAATCGGGTTGGTTGGAGTGAGTGAGACTGGCTTAGCATAGAGCAGAGTTCAGAGCTACTGGACATAGGGTTGCTATGAGTCATAGGGGACTCAACAGCACAGCACATAGCCACATCTCCATTCCAACACTTCAGCATTACATTGTGCCTTACAATTCTTTTTTTCTATATTGCCATTTTTTTTCCTTTCAGTTATTACATCAGCATACAAATCACTTGGTCATTGCCATCAAGTTGAAACTGATTGATCACTGACCCTCTCTCTGTAAGGGTTTCTGGGGCTATAAATCATATGGGAAAAGGTGACTCATCTCCTTTAGAGCCACTGGTGGATATAAAATATCATTTCTTAAAACTTTTTCCTGTATTTTTGAGCTACTATGCCTTTTCCTTCTCCACCTTTACAGCAAAACTCCTTAAAACAGTCGTTTATATTTGCCATCCCTAAATCCTTTCTCTTTGATGCCAGCTGTAATTAAAAATTCACCTCCACCAGTCCATGGAAACAGCTCTTGCAAAATCGTCCATGACCTCTGTGCTAAATCCAATAGCCAATTTTTAGTCTTCTTACTCAGCTTCTCATTCTTGGGATATGTTCTTCATTTGCCTCCCTGACAATACTACTTTGGTTTTCTTCCAAATTTACATTTTTTTGCTGAATCTACCTTTTCCTAATTTATAATTGTTAGAGGGCTGGCCCAAAGGCTTGATTTTTGGAAATTTATCTCCCCTCACCCTACTAGGTGATCTCTGGCAGTTCCATAGTTTCAAATATTAATTCTTCAATGCCACCTAAATTTATGCCTTCAACCTGAACTTCCTAAACTCCAGTCGCATTGCTGTTTATCCCACATCTCTATATAAATTTGAAAGATTTAATGTGTATCAAATTTTCCATTGTCAACAATAAAATCAGTCTCCTGCCTGTTCAAGCTAACTCCATAGACTTCTCCATCTGGGTAAATGTCACCACCATGCACCTAACTGTGTGGGTCAAGAACTTGGGAATCATCTTTGGCCCCTCTTTCTCTCATGTCCACACTTAATCCATCAGTAAATCACATTTTATTGTCTTCAAATTAAGTACAGAACTGACTGCTTCCCAAGGCTTCCTTTGCTGCCTTGTCATAGCATCATCTCTTACCTGCATTATTGCAAAGGTCTCCTAACTATTCTTCCTATTTCTGCTCTTCTCCTCCCCACCACATCCAAAACCCCGGTCCATTTTCAACACAGGTGTTGCTTTAAAATGCAAGTCAGAGGTTGCTGGTCCGATGGTAGTGGGTTATCAGAAACTATTAACATTAGTGCAACTAAAGTTGGTATACAATCCCCCACTGCTGAATTTGACTGGTAAAAAAAAAAATTAAAATGCAAGTCAGAAAAATCTTTAAGAAGGGTGTCTCCGATAAGAGACTAATCTCTAAAACACATACAGAAGACATGAACAACTCAACAACAAAGACAACATAATTCCATTAAAAAATGGTCAAAACTATTCCTAGATGCATATTTGTATATGTTTTATATGTTATGTATGCAGTGGAACCATCTGGGGACACCATATGTAATAGGGTCCCCAGACCAAAGACTGGGGATTCAAGGTCAATCCGTGTAACATGGTCCACAAAGACTGCATTCCACATCCTACTTTGGTGAATATTGACTGGATTTTTTAAAAGTTTATGAATGGTCATTTAAGGTGCAATTATTGTTCTCCCTTGTCCAGTATAAAGATTGAAGGAAGTCAAAGATGCAGAGAGACAAAGTAATCCAAAGGTTTAATGATGTCCATGACAGACCAGGAGAACTCGAGACCATCATGGCTGATCATCCTAAAAGGGATCTAGAGGGTCTTGGACTGAGTGGAAGAAAAATGAGGAACAAAACACAAATTGTAAAAATGACCAGACGTACTGGTCTGATAGAAACTAGAAGCACAGCAGAAATGATGAGCCTTATGCCTCTGAAAACCTGCGGGAAGATTAGCTCTGGGTCAGTTTTGACATGATGGCACACAACAACAGTGTTCACCTTCTGAGTTTAATGTCGCCCCAGTGCCTCAACCTTCAATCAAACAATAATCCGTTCTATAAGCTATTGACACTAGGGAGCTACTCACTTTTTTGACAGTTAACAACACCAGATCAATGGGGTGGCATTCGCTCAGGGGTAAAGCTCAGAAGGCAGGCAAGGACAGGATAGCAGGAAAGAAAACTCACAGAATAAATGCTATTGCACTGAAGATTACAATTAGTTAATAAAACAAAATGTGCATCAATGATTGAAGAGAAAATAATTTTCTCTGCAAATTTCACTTATATTACCATTTTTAAAACAGAACAAAACAAAAAAGCTTAGTCAAGGACATGAATAAGCACTTAAAAACTATATTCCAATAGGCAACAAAAATTTGAAAAGATGATCAGAGACATTGTTATTGCTAAGTGTCAGGGGTGCACAAATCAAACTGATGAGCCCCCATCTTACTCTTGTAATAGTACAGATGAATTTTTTTCTCATTTTTTTTTTTAAATCAAACCAGAAAATAGCAAATTCTGGTAAAGC